TTTTACCATTTTGAAGCATAAAAAGCTATAATTTCTTGTGATTATGTATTTTAGAAAGTCTTTTAAGGTGTAATGATATTTTCTTTTTTCAAAAGAAATTTTACTAATAAAAATTCTGAAACTTTTTAATCCAATTGTCTATTCTATTGCCAATTCAGGATTTTAAACTAGAATGCATTTGCAATATGATGATATAAGTGAAAAATATGTTATAAGTAATTGAATTTTGCCAAAAAAATTCAGTTTGGTTGTCATTTTTTTTTTAATTCACCCATCACAAGAAAGAATTTTAATGATTTTCTCCAGTGTAAATTGTCAGTGTAAAAACTGTATATGGACATATAGCATTACCAGTTTAGTTGTAATTTGTCAACGAAAATTGACAAAAAGCTGTACAAAATGACAATATTCAGAATCAAAAGTGGCGGCCGCTGTCGGCCATCGTAATAAACCGAGGCCTTGTGTCGCAGTAGGTGCTAGCAGGAAAAAAAATTCTCACTGCTCAAGGGCCAAAGTGCCGAGTACAGGTCTAATTTTGCAGCAGCTTGTGGCGTCTCAACATGAGTGAGAATTTCTCGAAGGGACGTTCTATAAATATGCAAACAAAGAAGCAAACACATTTCTTACACCCCGATTGTTTAAATGTTTGTCGTACGTTTATTTTTTTATTTTATTTATCTATTTATCTTATTACTTTTAAAAAAAAAAAGCAAAAAGTACTTAATTTGTCCTGTGATGTCAATGCGTGGTGACGATACATGCATAATACATAATAGGTGTCATACGAAAACCCCAGGGGATGATAATAAGATGTGTAATTAATGCATTATGTATGTACAAAATGTGATTTACGTCAAGGTTACTTCTTAACAAGGTTACGCTGAACAGGAAACATCTACCACTCAACAAGTGCTTGTATACGCGTATGTATACATTTATTATGTGTAACAAGCTTCAATTGTGATGGATTTATTCCAGAATTTCCAGAAACACGGGCACTTGGGGGCTGGACCCCCACCCCTTTTCTATTTCTTTTTTAAATCAGGGTTCGACACACCTTTTCCCAATTTTTGTACTCTAATATGCACTACCTGTTATCATATTGTAACCCTTTTGTCTCAATAAGCTGTTTTTAAATATATCGTTTCTTTGACTGATACATAAACATGATAAAGAGTCGAACACGATATATTAAAAAACAGCTTATTTAGCAGATTTAAACAAGAAAAAAAAATGGAAAAAAAGGGGGGTTCAGTCCCCAAGTGCCTGTGTCCAGAGAAACCTTTTTAGCTATAATGCATATATGTTTTTCTTTTTAATGAAAAAAATTTAGTTCACTAAAATTGAATTCAAATAAGTTTTTCTTATATATTTTTTAAAGAAAAAACTGAATATATCTATATGCACTCTTGAGTCGACTTCATCAAAACATAAACAGTCAGGGTTGAAAATCGTGATATTTTCCTTCGGTGTTATAATGTATAGTTGTAAATTTCAGGTGCCAGAAATAGAAGTGACCTTCAAAATAAAAGCAATAAAATTAATTAATAAAGTAAATAACTCCCGAACACACTGTCTTAAAACAACTATCTTTGAATAATTTTGAAACAAGACACAACGCGAACATCAGAGGCTCTTGTGTAATATCCAAACGATGTTAGGCCATCGTTTAGAAACTATTTGTATAAGGTTATAACATTTTATTGCCCACGAAAAATATTTTTATTTATTTAGGTTGTAGTCGGAACTTTTATTTCTAAAAAGACAATTATGTATTTACACTTTTAATTTAGAGTTGCTAGTGAATGAACTGACCATCTTTTTTATGTCCCACATTTCCATTGTACGCGGTCATGATAGTTCAAATTTTTGTCTGCATTTTAGTTTGCAGTGCTGCAATCTAAAATGCAGACAAAAATTTGATAATTTTAACTTTATTGTTCCCTAAAAATTTAATATTTTCAAAAAATTTGAAACTGGCTTAATTATGAGTTGAGTGTATGACTTTTCATCAATACTCTCTTTTCTTGTAGTGCGTTTTCTGGATCCGCCAAGTACATAACCTCACTTGTAATTCGTATGAGATTCTCAAGCATTAATAGGTACCCTATCTATACATGTACATAGATCTCTGAGCCTTATCGTTAGTGTATTAAGAAGATTATTAATATAACTTTAGTGCTTTCCTTCAAAGTTTATTATTGATCGTGCACTTTTATGTTTAGATCAACGGCCTTAAGTGACATTTTAAATAACCTATTTATTCTTATCCTCTGCAATTTAGACTAAAACTGCGTGATATCATTAGTTTGTTAACCAATATTTGATATTTCAATAGAAGTTGTCTCAGAAGTACAACTGATTTCTAACATTTCTTAGTCATTTCTCTTATTAAAGCTCTAATAGCTATGATGCTGTGTTACTGCACAGTTATTTGTGTGAAGGTGCAGTCTCATTGAAAACTCTACTCACAATAATAGCGTTTCAGGAAGTATAATGTGCATTAGTCGTCCAGAACACTTTGGTACATATTTTTAATTGCACATTATGTAAATATCAATTTTCTAAAACCTTATAATTCTTATAATTTTTGATGTGATCGTGAAGTTACGGGTATGTACACCCATCTATTCCACTGGATAAGAGAGGTTTAAATCACACTGTAATTTGAATGTTTTGGGGTATAACTTAGGCTTGACTATGCAGGTACTGGGCAGCTACATAATATATCAAAAGGAGACAGGTTACTCCAGTGACAGGGTACAGCTGTTTTGATTGCCAAACATGTGCATGCCGGTAGGCAAATACAATTCAATTCAGTTAATTATGAGGGCAATGAAAACAGATAAATGGGGACAGTTTCTTGGTAAGTCAAAAAATATGCCAACATGTACATGAAACATGTAATCTACATCTTTGAGTACAGCTCCCCCCCCCCCCTCTTTAGATCTTAAAGATGGGTAAAATACCCTGCATTCTATAGATTAATGCATGCATGAAAATTCACCATTTGATCTGGAGTCAATCACCCTCCCTTAGAGATGCAGACCTTCTAAGCCATTCTGCTTTCCAACTGAATTTCCTAGGCAACTGATAACATATCTTCAAACTGGTGGATAATTTCACATTTACTTCTCAGTATCTGCAAAGTGACACATGTTGCACATCATATTTCTTAGCTAACACTCTGCTATATACACCGGACATGTATCCCATAATTATCCTACTCATTTTTCTATATAAAATTAATTATTAAACATTTTTTTTAGAAAGTTGATCGGGTCTTTAGTGCAAAATATTTATCATACTAATTTCTAATTATAGGGTTTACTAACTGTAAGTGAAAAGGCAGAACCCTTGCGCTCGGAAAGTGAAACAAAAATTGCAAATATTTGCTATAAATTGGGCTTTATTACAGATCAGGAAATAAGAGGAAAAATCAGTTGGTTTGAAAGTATTAGAAATATTTTGAATAATTGTGGACTATCTAATATTTGGCTTGAATAAAGCTCAAGTAATACAAAATGGTTAAAGGCAAAACTTAAACTCACATTAATTAATCAATTCAAACAAAATCAATTTTTCAAACCTCACCTAAAGCATTAAATTATATTTAGAATATACAAAGACGAATTGAAGTTTGAAAACTATTTTCATATTTTATCAACAAAGGACTTAATTACATTTTGTAGATTTTGAACTTGTAACCATCATTTACCAACTGAAAGTGGACGTTGGCTTAGTATACCAAGACAAGACAGAATTTGTTCCCATTGTAATCTAAAGGAAATCGGAGATGAATTTCATTATACTAGTATACTAAAGTACATGCAGTTCACTACAAAAAGAAAGAACGCTAGGTTTAACAGAAAAACAAATAAGATTTGAGAATATAATGAGTTTTAAACACATTATGAATAGTAATAAAAACTGCTTTCTAAGAAAACTGTGTTCGTTTATAAAGAAAATAAATACTACGTACTAATTTTTGTTCTTTATCATTCACGCATGCCTTATACATCTATTGCTATATAATCTCTATATACTATTGTAAAATGGTTAAGAGATTCAAATAGATGAATACTGATTACTCTCTCTATCTCTCTCTCTCTCTTTCTCTCTCTCTCTCAGAAGGTCCGTGAACACCGGTATATGCGTGTACTGAAATGCATGTACTGTAATAAAATACACCAAACAAAAGATGTATTAATGCAGCAACAAAGCAGAATCTGTGTTTACAACAACAGTCTGGCTGTTAATCGAATTTTAGTCAATACAGTGAATTTGTTGTGCTTGAAGAAGATACATGCATAGTGGAATTATGTAACAATACACACCCAAAGTCTCCTTGTATAGATGTCAAGTACTTTCGAATTTCATTTTATCTACTCCTGTCCTTAGTTTTTAAACTGATTCTCATTATTTTGTACGCTGATGTACATAACTGTTAATAGTTGAACTTCAACTATATTTCGAACACATTTGTTTACTTCCATTAATATATTAGTGACCAGTGATAAAAACCCCCTTAGGAGAACAGATGCAAAAACTGCAGCAATTTTAATTTAAAACCAAAGGTACTTCTGGACATGCCCCCCCCCCCCTTTCCGATATTCAACTCCGGGGCTTGTTCGACATTTTTCACAAATTATTTTTATTGCACTTATTCATCATGTGTACCATAGGAAAAAATCGTGAAAACCCCCAAATAATCGGGACTCTGTCCACAAGTACCTGTGTTTATAACGAGAGTGATTTCTTGGACTCAAATAAACTACCTCCCTAGTGACAACATTGATTATTTACATTATTTCATTTCGTCAACCTCAAAAATAGATAATTACTTACCGAGAGTAAATCTATCTCGATTTGTACACAACTTCTGTCGTGCAACCCATTTTAAACTACTGTTCAATACAGACTTTTCTTCAAACTCTACTTCAAAGACACAAGACTAACTTGAAGGCTGTTTTGTTCAGACTGAAGTAATTCAAACAAAATGATGCTATTATTGATTTATTTGTTCTGAGGCACAGTGCTGCCATCTATTAACTCTTGTATGATACATAACATAAAGTGACAAACAAATAATGGTTCTATGTAATCTATGACTTAATCAGTGTTCAAATTAATATCCGGTTTGGCAGCTATTTCTAATATGCTTTGAATGTTACACATTAAATTATATTTCTATCAAATTGGACAAACACTTCTTTTGGCATCTAATTTTTAGTTTAACATTAACGCTTCTTGTAACGTTATTCATAAAATAATGCTATACCGTTATGTTGTTTTAAGGAATGTCAGATCATAAAACAAAGGAAAACGTTAACATTCACAGATCCAAAAAGTTTCTCTAAGATAAATGAAAAAAATTGAAATCATGCTAAAATGAAGAATTCAGGGACATTTAAAGTATGAATAATAGAACACAAAAATAAATCTGCCAATGGGTAACAATTCCGGTACAAAAACGATGTAATATGCTTTGTTTTCCCCTCTGAGGTAAAAGGAATTGTCGTATGTAATTCCCATATTAACACATAGAATTTAAAACCACTTCATTTTCATGTGTCCATAGGCACAAAATTAACCTGCATATCCTAATATTAAATGTCCCATCTCAACGAGACTACAGGCTGTATACTATCAACCTTTATACTTGGACTACAAATATACACTTAAACAGAGACGGAAATGACATTTTCTGTTTTTGCATTTCCGGTTTTGCGGTTTATATGCAGACTATAACTAATTAACCCGCAAATGAAAGATTATCACACGTGGTGGATAATTAAATTTTGGCAACAAAATAAGAGAAAGTTGCCCACCCACATAGAGTATAAATGGTATTGATTGTTAAAATATCATTAAATGTTCTTCCATTGTAGGTTATATCAACATTCACCATACATTATCACAGACATGCACACAATTTTACAACTTGAAGGAAATAGGAATTTCCCATTGGTACATGCAATATAATGAGTCCTCGTTTGATTGTGACATCACAACTACATAGTAAACATGACTTGAGATGTGTCCTCATTCGACTGGTCGCTGCTTTCTAAGCTGCTGGATTGGTCCTCAATGCCACTCTCTACCTCCGTAGATAGAGTGCTTAATGTTCGCTTCATAGACATGGTCAGAGGAGGAATGTACTCTCGTGGAATCACGTACGTGGAGAGGTTAAAGAGGTCAAGGAACACTTTGTAACGGTCACTGTTAGAAAGAATGACACAAATTTAAATTTTTCAGAAATGTATGCTGGTGATAAACATTACAGATTATATATAACAGAAAATATAAAGCTTTACATCTTTCATAGATTTGTACAAGTAAGGTGAATGGCATGATTGTATCAGCTTTTTAATACACTCAATGATCCAAAAACTAAAATGTAATTTTGCCTATATCGCGAGGATGATTACGCTTTGATGTAACATTATGTTTTCATTACATTCAAGTTCATATATTACATCTATTACAAAGATATGATACCTGACAGTTGATCTCAGATAATGATATCCAGAAGACCCGCCAGTTCCCACCTTACTTCCGATCATGCGCTGTACCATCATCACGTGGTTATCTAATAAAGTTACAGCTTACATTAAAATTCACTTTACAACACATCAGGTTGTCGAATAACAATATTTATATACTTTATATAATACTTTTATACTTTATATAAATTAATACTATTTATCATTCTTACATCTCCATTTCGTCATCAAAGAGTCAATGTCCATAAGAAGGGTCAGAAGTTGGTATGGTTGGTGAAATCGAGGCTCGTCTCTATATAGTGAAATTAAGAGCGCACCTTGAAAGGCTTTATGACTCAGTCTTCGCTCACCTAAGTGGGAAAAAGAATTTTAAGTACTGAAACAACTAATTTATATGACGGTCACTTATTTGTTAAATGTTCTTTCTGTCGTAAGTGAATCGTTTCATGTCAATTACATAACCATGGTGGACACTTAAAAATTTGAAAGTAAAAATTACATGCATATCGGTCAAGGAAAACGAGGCGAGTATTTTTCATGAAATTGCTTTCAATTTGAAAACTGATTCATTTTAATTTGTAGGTGTTTGTGGAAATGATACAATAGTACTTCATAAATATTCTCCGTACATTTTAACATGGACTTCATGTTAATAAAGTCTTTGCATGAATATTTATTTCATACAACACAAATGTGGAATCGGAGTTTAACAGCTTCTTCTTACCTGATACTCAAAAATTAAAGGATTAATTTTCTACATGGTACAATTTGACAAAAAGTATGTTTTTTCCACTTTTTCTCGGCGAAATTTTTAAAAATTTGTTTTTATTAAGTTGCAGCTTACAAAAAAAAACTTTCGTATTAGCAATTGTCTTCATGACGTACTCTCCCAAGTAAAAGTATTTTTAAACAAAAAACACTTTCTTTTGTTCACTGGTTGAATAGTTTGAGGTAAGTTTAAAGACTATAAAACTGAGTTTTATCAATTTCACCTTCAGTCACTTTCACTATATTTAGCTATATGATCTTGTCTTCCGCTGATGGACAGAGCATTCTTAAGTCCAAATACTGAGAGAGTTCTAAGTGGTATTTTGGATATGGAAATATTGCCATGAAACCTATTTCAGTCTAAAAAGCGATGTCTTTTTCAAATATATCTGATGAGGAAATAATTCGCATCAGCAAAAATGTACAGATAATGTAAAGATTCCACATTTCTTTGAATCAAAATGTATGACACGGGCTACCTAAAAGTAAGTGGAGATTGGTCTTGAGCGATGTCTTTTTCGGTTATATCTAAAGAGGAAATAAATACTGTAGTTTGCAACAGCCAAACTGTAGAGATCATGGAAAGATTCCATAATAAATTCTTTAAATCAAAATGTACGACACTGGTCTCTAAAAATAAGGTAGGGAAATGCAGATTGGTCTTTTTCTTTCGAAAAGTGCCTCTGGAAAAAGTAAAATTGATATAAAGCATGGATTCGAAATATGCCTTTCAAGATATGATGTGAAGTGCAGTAGCAATAGATCATGTCTAAGAGAATTTATGTGAATTGTGAAGCTTAAAAAATGTAAAATGCAATACGAATTCCTTAAAATTTATTGTGTAAATGTGAACTGTGTTGGGAATTCCATAAAAGTCATTGTGTCGGTGATGTTTAACCCATGAAATTCCTTTACTATTTGAAATTGAAAATTAGATTCAATACGTTTAATGTGGACAAAGTTGTTCACTGACAGGTAACTAATTGGGTGGGGTTTTGTTTTATTTTGTTTTGTCCTGTTTGTTTGGGTTTTTTCGGTTGTTGTTGTTGTTTTTGTTTTTTGTTTTTTTTTAATTTACAGGGATTTTCTGCTGTATCACAACCAAAAATAAAAATGGATTACATAAAAAGTGTTTTAATTCAGATTAAAATGAACATTTCATGTACATACGTATAATATACAAATACCATGTTTCGTTCTCTATCTCAATATATGGTATTTTTATTCGTTATTTTGGACTGTGGAAGTCTGTAAAATTATACCATTAAAAACATTACATGTTTATTTAGGGTAACGTGAAATTGCTATCCCGCGAAAACCGAGGCGTTGTTTCAAACAAATATTTTTGGTAACTGATTTATGTGAACTTATCACATTGAGGTCAGCCTAAAACTTTCAAATAATAATCTTATATGAAGAAAATTAAATATACTGAAGCATGAAAAAAAAAAACTCAAAGCATGTGACTTCAAGGCTACTTTTAAATTTGTTTCATAAATCTGAATGCCCCATTTTAAGGGTTTGTTTATCACTGGAACTATTTAATCCATAAAATATGTTATGATAATCGGTCTGTACCCTTTTTACAAAAATCTGTGTATGTCACGTTTTGGGGAAAACTTGTAAATAAAGGTTTTATAACCAGAGGTAGCTAGTGTGATTGTACTCAATATGAATAACTTATAAAGTTTTGGATTCATTTTCAAATTTATCCAGTCATTTCTTCACCAAAAAAGTTATAACAAAAATACATAAACGAAAATGAAGTTATTAAGTACGTGGTTTTTGAAATAAAAAAAGAAGGTCGAAACGAAACCAATACCTTTCCTAATTTTTAGGTTGATATACTGATACATGTTTATATTCACTTATCTATATTCCAATAATACATAGAAATACATGTGAGAAGTGGGCAGTGACATAGATCAAACTTACCCCTCTCCACAAAAGTGTTGTACTTGATGGGGTCCAGAATCGTATCGAAGGAATCCTGAAAGTATGTTGATATCAAATTCATTACTTTAGCATAAAACATGTGAAACGGGTATGATATTTTAATTATTGATCAGATGCTAAAATAAAAATAGGTTGATGACCAAATAATGTAATTGATGTCAGAAGCATTATTACCTTCTGTTTTTGATATTCTGCCATTAAAGTTTCCTTCATCTTAGGGTCTGTTTCTTCCTATGGAATGAAATGATAATAAAGAACGTTAATACAACAACCTAATATCTCTTAACTGTGCTTTAATTTTCACAATTTATAAACAACACACAATCCAGCTAATAAACGATATTTTATTTCTGGACTTGACTTTGAGATGTACGAATGGGCGATACTTACTATATATGGTTGGTAAATTGTTTCATCAAGCCACCGACTGACAGATGTTTCAAAGGCTCGCCAGAAACGGAAGTCATGACGCTGCAAGCCAGGAGTTCTCTCCAACCACCTCTGGAAAATCAGTATATTAAACTTATTCTAGTTTTAATTAAAATATAAAAATTAATGTCTTCTTTATTTGTTTCACGGGGATTAAGTGTTGCAACCATTATAAAAAAAATTCCATGACCCGCCAATGTGTACGCTTTGATATTTTATTTAACATTAACGTATAGTTTAATTACAATTCGCAACAATTTCTTTAAAAAATGAAAGTATTCTTCTGTAAAATAGCATATACATACCAAAGAGGGCAAAAATCTCTTCTTTTTTTTTAAAAACTTAACTATATATATATTTCAATTTTTCCATATGAGTGGGTTTCGCTCCATTTTTGTGCAAGATTATATACAAAGTATGCGTAAAACTATACATATTTCGGTTAACAAAAACATGAAGCAAAGACCCACAACGCCTAAAAAAAAAAAATACACTTCTTTGACACAAATTCCTATATTTCCTAGAAATGTTTGAAGTCCATTAAGTCATTTCACAAACATTATTTAAATGTTGTTCTTTGTCATAAGCTAAATATGTAGCGTAGTTGTTAGCTTGTCAGTCTCTAAGAAAAACTGAAAGTTAGGATTTTTATTGCTTGGGTTTGAAACTCCAAAATACCAATTTTTTTTTAAATCATAGAATGATTTTTGCTGGAAGAATTTTGCGCAGATTGTTTTTTTTTTTTTTTTTTTTTTTTTTTTTTTGGTCATAATTTCATACCTTTCAATAATAAGAACTTTACTCTAAATGCTAAATTCACAAAGTGAATACGACTTTTATACTTTGGAGCTACATGCATTTTGCACATCTTGTTCGCCCATCTCCTTTAAAGTTGATCAACGTTTGCATATATTTATATGCCGGCAGGGGGTTATTGTACTAAGTTTAGTACAGTAAATTGTGTTTGTTGTTTCAGGTAATCAGTATTATTGTTTTGTAACAATAAAGAGAATATAAAGTGGATCTAAATATTGTAGAATACGGATACTTTGTTATGCATCTATTTATATCGCAGAAACCAGATTCTCGGACGAGATTGTAGTGTTGTTATTCTGTTGTATTTATATCTGATCAACTGCAAGAGAGGTTGCAAATCTCTCCGTATACATATACATCGTGCAAAGTTTAATCTATCTATGGCATCTACTACAGCCATGAAATGAAAGCTTGTCAAATCTTACCTCTACTACAGCCATGAAAACTCACTAAATCTTACCTCTACTACAGCCATGAAAACTCACTAAATCTAACCTCTACTACAGCCATGAAAACTCACTAAATCTAACCTCTACTACAGCCATGAAAACTTACTAAATCTTACCTCTACTACAGCCATGAAAACTCACTAAATCTTACCTCTACTACAGCCATGAAAATTTACTAAATCTTACCTCTACTACAGCCATGAAAACTTACTAAATCTTACCTCTACTACAGCCATGAAAACTTACTAAATCTAACCTCTACTACAGCCATGAAAACTTACTAAATCTAACCTCTACTACAGCCATGAAAACTCACTAAATCTTACCTCTACTACAGCCATGAAAACTCACTAAATCTAACCTCTACTACAGCCATGAAAACTCACTAAATCTTACCTCTACTACAGCCATGAAAACTCACTAAATCTTACCTCTACTACAGCCATGAAAACTCACTAAATCTAACCTCTACTACAGCCATGAAAACTCACTAAATCTTACCTCTACTACAGCCATGAAAACTCACTAAATCTTATCTCTACTTCAGCCATAAAAACTCACTAAATCTAACCTCTACAACAGCCATGAAAACTCACTAAATCTTACCTCTACTACAGCCATAAAAACTCACTAAATCTTACCTCTACTACAGCCATGAAAACTCACTAAATCTAACCTCTACTACAGCCATGAAAACTCACTAAATCTAACCTCTACTACAGCCATGAAAACTCACTAAATCTTTCCTCTACTACAGCCATGAAAACTCACTAAATCTTACCTCTACTACAGCCATGAAAACTCACTAAATCTAACCTCTACTACAGCCATGAAAACTCACTAAATCTTACCTCTACTACAGATATGAAAACTCACTAAATCTAACCTCTACTACAGCCATGAAAACTCACTAAATCTTACCTCTACTACAGCCATGAAAACTCAGTAAAAATTACCTCTACTACAGCCATGAAAACTCACTAAATCTTACCTCTACGACAGCAATGAAAACTCAGTAAAAATTACCTCTACTACAGACATGAAAATTCACTAAAACTTACCTTTACTACACCAATGGACACTCACTAAATCCTAACTCTACTACAGCCATGAAAACTCACAAAATCTTACCTCTACTACAGCTATGAAAATTGACTAAATCTTAGCACTACTACAGCCAGGAAAACTTACAGTCTTTCCTTTACTACAGCCATGAAAACTCACAAAGTCTTACCTCTACTACAGCCAAAAGTGAGGGCTGCTCCACAGAGTCCATCAACATTTTGATGGATTCCTCGTCATTGAACACCTTCATGTAATGTTGCTGGTTGTACTTTATACGGTTTTCCTGCAAATCAACGACCTTTCTTAATGTTATACATTCATTTGGCATACGAAAAAGGATTTTTTCTGTAATTATTCTGTTCATTTTCATGAATGAAATTTTATCAAATCTCGAGTGATTTATCGTTTGTGTGTGTATGTGTGTGTGTTGATATAGGGGTAGTTTTTGTAGTCTTTCACCGACCTGTTTGACCCCTAGTTTGTTTTCTAGTAGTCGAAATTGAAGGCTCTGGAACCCAGATGCTGTAGCTAAATGTTGTCTGTAACAAAAATCCCAAACCAAAGATTTAGTAAAACTATTTCAATATCCTTAGCAAAAATATCAGTCAATCAATTTCATACCTATGTCTTTGCTTATCAATCATACATTTACCATTACACACCTGAACTCTAGAAAATCCAGTGGCGTCATTGTCTCTAATATAATAAACTGGTCCACTAATAACTAAAATAATGAAATGTACATAAGTTTGTATAATGGACAAACAGAAAAATAATGCATAAATAAATATAAAAATAACATCACACTTCAACTTTCTTTAATAGACATTTACCTTTAAAATCAAACTGACGCGCTGCAATCTGTTGATGATATTGAGCATTCGGCTTTCATCCATAGTCTACAAAACATGCATAAAACAGAATTTATAATTATATATATTATAAAACATCTCGATCAGTGATATTTACATTATCTACATGTAGATCTCTTTCTACATTTGCCTTACATTCACTTCCTTCTGCCCCCCCCCCCCCTTCTTAACCTTACACTGCATTTCATTTAAGTTAGATCTAAATTTCAAGCTGGTGGATCTCCTTTAAGGTTGTTCAGATTTATATAAATATATATTGTGATGAAGGCATTCAAGCATATTCTTCCCAGTTCCAATTAGTAACAGAATGTCATCGCTACTACTGTGGAATAATTTGATTTCGTGGTGACTCAATATTCGTGGAATTCATGGGAACCCTTCATCCACGAATTAATATACTGGGGGTTTAAAAGACGTATGATTTTTTGGACAAAGTAGTGAATACACGAAATTGCGTCCCCACAAACCTATAAAATTTAAGCAATTCCCCACGAATATTGAAGATCCTACAATATGTTTTAATGAAATGATCAGATATGTGATATTCATACGTAATGTAGAGGCTACTTTCAACTTTTTCCCCGCAAGAAGTAGCACAGAACAGTAAATAAAAATCGAAAACCCCGTAAAGAATATTTATTTTCCTCCTGACATTCTTTACACGATTTATATCCTGGATTCCGTTTCAAAACAACCGAGTCCAAACTTAAACCATTTAGGTCTTTCCATTATGTTGATTTAAGTATTATTTTAATATGATTAAGAACAATACAATCAAGTATTATTATACAAATTTTCTTACAAAGTTATGAAGTTGGTGCGATTTTATATAGTAGTAGCTATATGAGGGGCATATTCTCTCTAAGTCTTAATTGTAAAACGGTGTTCTGATTTCTGAAGCTTTCTGAAGGGCCTACGGGAACTGGACTCAAAACGATTGTTCACTAACTACACATGTACAAATTAAATACAATTTTCTTTTTTTTTCAAATAAGAGTAATGCATGTACATATTATGGCTCCTTTCGCTTCAGGAATTAAAAGTAAACTTTTTGTGTAAAGATTATCGCAATATTTGCCAAATACCACAGATGGCATCAACTGCCAATTAATCTCAACTGATGTTGATTGAAAAAATGCGTTAAGCCCCCATCCCAAAACGGCCTATTCCATCCTATAAAATTGTAAAACGGTTAGTTTTCGGGGGGTGAATGTGAAATATTTTACAGTTAACGTCTTCAATACAATCCTAGTTTGTTCATTAACATTTCGTCATACGTTCATCTCGTCCGGACCTCGTCCACAGTCAATTGATATGAAGTTCAGATATGCAAATTAATTATTTGCCGTTTCCAAGTAGTAGAAGTCATATAAAGTCCGTTATTGACGAGTCCTACCTCCTTTCCTATACGTCCAAACCGTTCTTACTAATTAGCAGCTCGTTCGATTTTTAAGTAGTTTGTAACCCGACCTGCCCGACCAGATTCATCTTATTCTTACAGTGTTTTCAAGGTGCGTTGAGTGTGCAATCCTACTTGATAGTACTTGGTGAATAAGAGGGCCGCTATACAAGTTCAGAAGTTCAGAAACTGCATGGATATTTCTATGGCATATAACAAATGTAATAATGTCAAAAATTTAAATAAAATTTAGATTTTTTTTAAATTTATATATATCAAATTATCGTTCCGGGGTCTTACACAGCTTCTTGTTAATTGATGCAGCAAGATCATATGCTTGCGCACAGACGAGTCCTCAGCAGGGAGTTTTGCAGCAAAGTGTACATCACGTGCTCCACGCATTAGTGTTGATTTTTAAATTGTAGACAGGGTACATGATAAAAACTTTTCACATATTTTAAATGATTTTAAGTCATTTGATGAGGAACATGAGAAAAATACATTACCATACATGTTTATATGTCTAGAAAAGCCTCAGGTTATTTTATATTGATTTTAGTGTTCGTGTTGTCTCAAAAGTGGTTAAGAGTAGGCACTGCATTTCTAAGCGTAAATAATTTGGGTGTGAAGAACTATCAGTCATTCTACAATAAATGGACCAATTCAGGGTATAAAGCATGACAAAAAGAATTGTTTCAAATAGCAAAATGAACATCGTAATTCTCTAAAGGACATGTCAGAGAAATGGAAAAAAAAAGAATTGTCCACAAATCTGGTATCGTTAACTTTTTACAACAATTTCAATATACCATTGATTTTAAGATAATGCTTCATCAAGTCTTATCATTTTTTAAATAAAGCTGAATTTGACCAATTTTTCGTTTCTAATGTTCAGTATAGAACACTAAAGTATGATTCATAAAGTCTCGCACGAATCCGAAATCAAGTTAAAATTTCGGGAAAAATATCGTAGGTTAATTGTTACGGAAGTTAATTCCCAGCAATAAAAGTTAAAATTTTCAGCACTAGTTAAAAATAAAGTTTGTTTTAGGATATTAAATAAAAGTATAAAGCATTTCGCTCCCAAAATAATAAAAAAAAAATTATACCTTTAATGCAAAAACTTTCCTGAACTACCGTTACGGAAGTTAAATTGTTAAGAGAGACAACTGTTTTTGTCTAATTCATTTTGTTATGTCAAAAAATGTAATCGTCTAAAATAACTGACTCGCAACTAGAATCGATGATATTAGGTTCCGTGGTCACTTTCAGATAAGTACCAGTCCTTTTTGAAATATGCATTCTGTGCGTGAAATTTAAAACAAAATCGTTAAGGAAGTTTATCGATTTTTATCGACATGCTTTATGATTTAACATGAAAGAAGATCCATGTATTTCTTTGCGAGAAGTGGTTTGATTTCTTTTTATATAGGATATATAGAAACCCTTTTTAGCATTCATTGCAATCTATTCGGAACGCTTTTACGGCTGAAAATTTCATCTTGAAATTTGTAAATAAACGAAGCGACATTACAATTTGCAGTGGAATACGTTTTCAACGTTACATTACGTTCATATCAAAACTTGAACTGCATATACATGTATATCGGTAAATAATTACAAAGCCATGCGTGTATGTTAAGTTGTTAAGAGTTGAAATCGATCTTTAAATTTATAGTTGATATTACAACGGTAAAATTGTAAGCGACATAAAAATTCTTAATTGGGCATGTTTTTATAGAATGACTGGGAGTAAGCATATCCGGTAGAACACCGTAACGAAGCCGGTTATTGCTCTTCGAGCGCTGAGCCAAGATGTAATGATAATGTCTCACGGATATGAAATTTTCCTCTCAATTTCAACAAGTTTCTCATCCAACAGGCTCTTTGTTTTCCCCTTCTTCCTTGTCATACCGTCACGGAAGCTCAATCGGTGGAGTACTCGCTTCGTGATTGGAAGGTCATTGGTTCAAGCCACGGCGGCTGAAACAGCCCCTAGTCGATAAAAGAGGTAGCAACTGTTCCTTTGCCAAGCGCTCGGCACTTTGAAGTGAAAGTTGCTGGTCTTTCGAAAGAAACCTCATAAACCGAGGCCCCGTGTCACAGTAATCGTTGGCAGGATGAAGATCCCTTACTACTCAATAGCCTTGAGGGTCGAGTAAGGTCTAAATTTGAAGCTCTTCACCGATATATGAGAGGGAAATTCTTTAATGGGACGTTAAACATACAACCAATCAATCTTCCTTGCTCTGCTATGCTTAGTTCCGCTTCTAACAATACTTGCATAAAAGCATTTTTCATCATGTTAAAAACAGTAACCCTTTTCATAATTCTGTTGTAAATTTCAAGGTCACAAAGAAATGTGCTTTAAGAGTAACGAACAAAATAAAAAGCAGTTTCCTTGCCTGAACGTACTGCAGACGGGTAAGAACTTCATAAGGACGATAGACACGTACTTAAACGTATAGAACTTACTTAGAACTTTATGGGTCATTTTAGAACAATTTAGAAACGTGTTTGTATTTCACTCAAAAGTTGTAACTTGGTTTGGAGTTGTGTTTGTTAGGCAACGGGAACAAACGGAGCCGGTCGATCTACAAACTGAGTGGGTCGGACTGCTAACTTATGATTGAAGTTTTACCATGTCACATCCCAACACGTCCCTACATGTAGTATAAGATCAAAGTACGGCAAGTCCGTTCTTAGTACGACTATTTTTATTACGTCCATCTCGATTAAAGCACGTTGCCACCCCGACCAAATTCAGGACGGTGAAAATTTTGAACAGGCTCAAAATTCTGGTCATTCCTCTCGTCCTAGCCATTGCGAGTACGTCCATGACGTTCTTAAAGATGATAAAAAGTTACGTCCGTTTGTATACCGTTCAGCTATGTTTGTCTACATTTTTAAGACAGTAGTAAGAACTAATTTGGTATGATGGGGGCTTTAGTTGCACGCCTGCATGCAACACGTCATATTAAGGAACGTGAAGCTCGGAAGAGTATTCTTTTAAACTTTATCTTTTACAATTGATCCGCATAATATGGCTTACGTAATATTTAATTTGTATTTATAAACAGCTCGGAGATTTGTAAAATGGGAAAACTGTGTATCCAGTGCTATGCTTGTACACGTATAATAAAATTCATATCATCTGCTCATTTCGTATCAAATGATAATATAATGTACAAGGCATCAATTGAACTCACCGGGACCACAAAAATTTCCCTGACAGAATCGATCTCAAACAGCATCTGTTTGAACCAGAGTTCATACGCTGCAATGAAAATAAATTTGATTGTTATGGGAGTATACATATTATTCAGATATGTTCATTAATGCCAGAAAGCTAGACAAAGGAAGGGAGATGTTTTCTATAGTAACACTGCTTTAAAAAGTACTCACAAAGTATTTAAGAAGTGTTACAGTGTATTCAGGGAAAAGAGATTTTTGATTTGGTACTTGATAGAATTCCCTCGTTAATTATGGAAAATGATGTGTAAAGCTAAATTTGTCTCTTAACAATTTTGAATCATTTTAAACTGTCTAGTTAAATAGGTATTGCTAAATAACGATGAAAGTGAAATGAATCAAATTCAAATGACTGTTAACATATAAGAAGCCGACCATTTTGCACCTTTAACGTTTTTGAAGAGTTATCTGCCCTTGATGAAAAGAAGAAAATTTTTATTTTGTCAAAATATCTGTGGTAAATGTTTAATTTTATTTCAGATTTTAATAAAGAGAGAGTTTATGCATATTTAGAGTTTATGCATATTTTCACCAAGAGATTTGTATGATGTTCAAATTACTTTTTACAATATCTTAATAACACCTTCATAGACTTCAATGTAAAATTCATGGTGCAATTACTTGGACAATTTTCAAAATTTTGTAAATTCATTTGGTGGAGTATTTTTTATTTGATAAGACCTTCAAAATGCTACCACGATTAAAAATGTCGGAGGACCATTCATTTATTAGGTACAAAATATGGTCGTTATACATTGAATACCTTAAGATGTTCTTTACCTACCTTGATGTGTGATGATAAACAGATGCTCATCATGCACTGGTTTTCCTGCTTTTTCGCTTTGTAAGACTTGACATTTCAGCAAATTTTGCAGCTGTAATTAACAATTTTTTTAAAAATAATTTTCAAAATATTTATACCTGAATAGGTAAAATTTAGAAGAAATTAGTGTCTTATGATTATTTTATTATTAATTGCTACTTAGATGAATATATAATATAAATGTTTTCATTTTATCATAAATGCCATAAATTATTCGTATTTAAAATCACATACCATTAAATATTCCTGGTAATTCTTCGGTGCCGGACTTTTGTCCTCGTCCATTGCTATAGAAAAAAAATGAATGTGAATATTATTCCTGACAAATTAGAGTATTTTTTAGGAAAGAAGCCCTAACTACATGTGTACATAAGTAGTACAGTGAGTGACAGACATGCTGTCGATGGCTTCGTGATCTTATAAAACACTCGGGCAATTTATGTAACGCGTGGGCCAATGGTCAGATCCTTAAATACTTAATTAAGTTCTTCTTAATGCTTCAATTTGAAGAAAAAAACGACAGGTAGTCCACACAAATTCGTGTCTAACGACATTCCCACCACTGCAATGCCACCCGAAAGAATAGCTCAGTAAACGATTTGATAACGCTAAAAATCACACAGATTAGAAAATACCGGGGTATACTACGTTTCAGTAGTACAGCTGAGGCCAAAATAAAAAATACCTTTGTTTCCCCTAACGCGACCGACCCAATTAAATCCCGCCGACTGAAAAGTTTTTTTTAAGAAGATTATTTAATTTTTTTTTTAATGTTTATCAACTTTTATAAAATACAATTTCATGAAAACCCGTTCTTATCAGAAATTCAGAATGTATTTTCAAAGCTGCTGTCAGAAAAAAAAAATTATTTACCTACCTACCTACCCAACTTCAAATTTTAGGGTCGGGTTAGGGGAAACAAAGATATTTTTAATGATGGCCTGATCTAAAATATCTGTTTACTAATAAATCATAAACTGGCCGACAATTTATTAAATAAAACACCTTTATGTCTTCTAATGCTTACAGACAAGCTCACTACAGCTAGTTTTTGCTAATTTTGTACAAGTCAAATAATACACTTTCATAGAGATGAATAATGTCATTTATTAAAATGACGGTATAAACGTGAACAATTTAACACACAAGTTTTTTTTAAATATATATATATTTTTTAATCTTAAACTGTAATACAATCACCGTTGCATCATACAATGATTTCCAATATAGTCGAGCAAACGACAAGTGAAGTAAATTGTCTTCTTGTAAATGATGAATTTAAAACAAAATTTTTAATTTCAATTCTCATATTTACTGCCATGTCAAAGTGGGTTTTTTTTTATTTTTAGGAACAAATATTAAGGGTTTAAAAAATGTTTTAAAAATGTGTGTTAAATGAGGATATACCCACATCCTTATAAATAAAATTGCTGGTAATCATCGCAAATACTATTCTCTAATAAAAGAATTTTCTGCCATTCCATAAAATTAGCATTAGGTATTTCGTTCCGTCGTCTAATTGGAATTTTGTAGAGTAAATTTGCTTTTTAATCCGAGAGAATTTTTTTGTTACCATAAATTGCAGAGTTTGTTTTATTCATCAAATTTCGGAAAGATCGTCTTTTTGTGAAATCAAAATTTCATTTAAAAGTCAGTAAAGTTTTTGGGGAATTTAATATAAATTGTAAATTTCAGTATTCTGCTCCATAATACATGCATAGAACAGTTAAATGCAGAAAAAAGAATTCATTTCAAACATCAGATCAAAGCAACGGACGGAGATGAGGTGGAAACCATTGAAAATTTTGAAGCTGGGTTCACTCGACGACAATTTCTGACGAAAGCAGTTGATTCAATATATATTTCATCAATTAATATATACAGTGCATTCACAGAACATGCACGGTCAAATAAGGGGCAGTGTTTGGACTGCACTGTATACTTAATCTGCCTTTCAAGACCACATGTTTCTGTTCGTTACACGAACGACATGCATTTAAATCAACCAATAGACGAAACTAAAATGTGCGCTGGTAAGTATAATATTTGATATTTTGTTTCAACTCTGACGTTACAAAGAAGTCCTTTCTTTGTTTAAACCTAAAAACACATTGACTTCTGTATGCATGCGTCTTAAATTAATCCCAGCGGAAACTTTCTAATCTTCATATAGGCGCATGTACCTCGTTCCATTCAATATCCCTGTTGTATCGAGACTGTGTGCTACCATGAATTTTAACCTTGTCTTTCTATACATGAGCTAAAAGGTCATACTGATAACAGTCGTTAAACGCCTCTAAGCCAAGTTCTTGGATAGAGACGGGGAAAAACATAGTGACTACCTACTAAATTCGCCCCTCATGCTAATTTCAGTCATTTTGACCACAACACTTTTTTTATTTCCTTAGGAATGGAATTATTTGACAACATAAAGCTCACGGTAGATAATATTTTAAGTAATAAAAAGAGTGCGTTGTTTGTATACCGAGACACATACCGGAAAGGACACTCTGTACCCAATATCGAACAATACGCTACTCCTTGGAAAAGAAAACAATCTCCTTAATCTTTAAGTTCGAATCTAATCCTTTTAAATAAAAAATATTTTGATACAAGGTTAATCTCTTACCTGCCTGAGAATGAATGAGCCTTTAAACCTGCAACCTTGACTTGATATACGTATAAATCGTTCACATGACTTAAGGCAGACCAGCCTTGTATCTCAATATATTCTAACAAAGATCAGTTTGCACGTCTTCAAAAAAAATCACACGGCTTTTTTCCGGGATGATAGATCTATCAGACTGAACTTGGTTTGGAATACTGATTTATGACGGGAAATCGGTAAGAGACGTATTGGTCAGTATTGCCCAGCGCAGGGCTAGAAAGTATATATAGACAAATGGCGAGTATTTTCTTGAGATGTAAATAAAAACAAGTGATAATTATTTCTAAAAGAAAATTTACGGGTTAATATTTATAGTTTCTATTTTAAATGATTTCAGATACTTACTTAAATTTTATCACATGATGTCCGACAGAGTATAATTATGTTTACTTTTTACCGCTATTCAAAGCCACTGTTTTTAGCCATTCACTAAATTGTCCGACTGAACCAGTTAAATGCATCGGTTCAAGGACGTTAGGTTGATAATATACATGATTTAGTGCATGTGTTCATTGAAATTTCTAGGTTAGTTTAATATAGTCATAAACAATTAAATTAAACTGATTTAAATAACAACTAAAATAAACTGATTTAAATATACTTAAAGCAAGTTCAAGTTCATGTATTCACTCAAAACCATCTAAAACATATGGTATATGAGGACAATGAAAAATATTTACAGCATACTCCGGTATAAATTCAGGTCAGAGGTACAAGTATATGATATACTTATTCAGAAAATGAAAGTGAAAGAGGACCAAAAAAAAGATAAGATAAATACATATAATATATATAATAATAGTATAAATGAGGAATAAATCATGGAAGACAGATTTTTAATATAAAATTACAGAGTTTTTTCAGTGTCATAGCATCTTGTTTTGCCATCAATTGAGAAAATTTAAGTATATTTGGTCTACCAAAGTAGTATTCATTAATATACTTTTCCCTAATGTTTGACAATGAAGTGTATTAAATTTAATGGTATACTGCCATCGTTGCAAAACCATTGAAAAATGTACACTTAAAATACGTTCAGAAAAAATATTTAATCATCCTACCGGTATTAACTATAAATAATTTAATCATTAAATTAAATGTTAAAATGTTACGTATAAATGGTTTGGACTTTGTTAGAGTTTAAAATTTACCTTTCCTGTGTGCAGATATTAACTAATATACTAATACTAAATTTTGTTAAATATATTATCATAAAAAGAGGAAATTTTTCATAAACACTAGCTGGACGTCAACACTGAATAAATCTTATCACCCACCTACGAAAGTAAATAATTACAAAAGACACCTGACGAGTGGTTGGTGTAACCCCACCCCCATCCCCCCTTTCATCAAATGTTTGGAATGACCAAACTCCCAATATAACTTGGACTAAAATCTGAATCTAATTACCCTTGTGTTCAAAATAGAATGTATTATATGAACCAGAGATTACATAACTATCCATGATACATTGTGTAAATTGGTGAAACAGGTGTTTTGTCGATCATTAAATAATTTTTCAAAGTAAATCGACGGGGTGGGGCCGGTGGGGTAGGACTGTTACACTTAAAGTTGAGAGAATACCTCAAGAATCACACATTTAAAAAAAAATGGAGAAAAAAAATCTAAATTCGAAGACTTTATAACTCACCCCCTCCTCCCTGCGCTTTAGGACAGAATAAGTGAGTGGAAGATCTAAAAAGAAGGCTTAATAATCAGTATAGGTATTCCATAAGTCAGAGAGATTCAATACTTTAATTGCATTGCAAAAGTTCAAAGAGAACCATTTTTATTATTTGGAAATCATTTTATGCAATATATGGTTTTCTGATCTTAACCTTTAAACTTTTGACCTCAAAATTAGTAGGGGTCTTCTTCACGTAATGGTATGATTTAGTTTGGACGCGCTTACACTTCAAATGGCTGAAGACACTTTCTTGAAACCAGCCACTGATTTCTAATTCTGTACTACTAGTGCATCTATTTATAGCGTCCTTCCTGATATTCTTTATTTTATCAAATAAAATATACAACACGAGTATCAATATATAGTCATGTTGTGTATTTTTGATAAAATAAAGTATATCAGCATGATCAGGAAGGGCAGCAATATTTTTTTGTTCGAGAGAGAGAGAGAGAGAGAGAGACGGAGAGAGAGAGAATTCATCTGTCACACGTGACAATTAATGTGTTAAAATATTAATATGCATAAAAAACAATTTGTCTGGTGACACGAGGGAATGCAGATTATATATACAGTATACACCGTCAATTAAATTACCTTGCAAATTGAATCGACGCATAAATATACACACGTTCGTCAGTTTAATTAATTAATCTAGGGGGTCTGGGATGATTTTTTTTTTTTTTTTTTTTTTTTTTTTTTTTTGATTTTTTTTTTACTTTTTTCGAAGCTTAAAAACATTGTAATTTATGATTTTTATTCTGTTTACAAATCAATACCAAAATGTATGAATAATGGTCTTTTAAATTCTAATAGCTTAAAGTGTATTGGTTTTTTAAATCTCTTTCATGGCAGTGCAATTCATTCTGACGCAAACATGGAGAAAAATGCTTTAACTCTTATTTACTTGATGAAAAATGAGTTACAATGCACGATGTCATTATTCCAAATTATTCTCAACAACGTAGAATACTTTTTTTTCTCAAAAGCATTTCTACAAATGTATTATCTGAAACGACTAGTCCGGGTTCCATGAAGGACAATATAGGTAGGGGGGAAAGCATTAACATAAATTGACAAACCTTGATTTCCGTTAGTAGCCATGTTTCCTTAATAAGTATCACAATCTAATTAACGTATATCTGCAGGTGCAAAAAATTCCCTGTGTTCAAAATTCCAGACAAGGAGTCCTTGACCTTCTATTTATACCAAGCCATCTGATTGGCCAATGAATACACACCTTATTTGTGGCATGGTTTCTAACAATGTACTTAACGGAAAGGTTTCTTTCAAAGTAAACAAAATTCTAAAAATAACATTTTCAAATTATTGGGCAATCATGAATATAATTTCACTTTTCTGAAAAAAATGCCACGCATGTTTTTTTACTTGTATAATTATTTGTATCTTTAATTGAAGCAGACCATAATTGTCTTTCTTTGAAATGTTACTACCTTTTAAAATGAAATGTACTTTGTGACGTAATTTTTACATTTAAAATGTCTGCAGTAGAACTGAGTATATCTGTATTTCATATCAAAAAGTGAATTAAACCTGTCTATTAACATATTCTACAGAAAAGTTTTTCTTATGTCTCCAAAACCGTAACAACCATTGAAGCAAGTGAGACAAATGCCTCACCATATATTTGGATTTTTTTATAACTTTATACAAAAAGTACTACTTCCAACAAATTATTTGTGTCATTGTATATACTTAATCCATACTTTAAAAAAAATCGTTATGATTTCTGTATTATGATGGGATGAGGCTTGAAATGCGGTATTGTATGGGACGGGGGGGGGGGGGGTATTAGATATATATATTCTTTGAATCTTTTCAATAGAGTGAAGAGTAAAATGCATTTCACCTTCCCTTTTCTCACTTCTCATGTTTATGTTCAGTTTTTGGCAATACGACAGAAAAACAATAACTATATATTGCGTTATGCATAATTATGCAAGCGCAGTTCATTAAATTACAAAATTGTTGGAGCTTAGATAAAAAGATTTCGTTTCCTTTTTGATGTTAAGACTTGATATTCCATAATAATAAGGTTTTCTCTTCAAGATAGAGGCAAGTCAAGTTTTTAAAAATCAAATTAATGTTTTCTTGACATTTCCAACAATACTTTCTTTATTTATTTAAACTACTTGGTTATGTTACCGATGTTTATTCAGTTAGTTCGTCTTATTGACCTATGTCATTTTTCATTTGATTGTGCAAAATGGCTAGATTTGACATGCAAAAAAAATGCAGAATCTATTTTCAATGTCAGTCACACATGTTTGCTGTAGATTGTCTAAATACTTAAAAAAAGAAAACAAGTTGCTGTCCTTTAAAAAAGGACTGCAAATACGTGGACCATATGCATGTGTTTCTAAACAAAATTCAGAGAAAATTTCTATTTTTCGTGATTTTAAAAAGGTGTAATTGATTTTAATTTTTTTTTACATGTATCTTGTAATTTTCATCGTTATTTAAGTCTACTCAATTAGGCTGTAATGATAAAAAATCATGAGCTTGAAATGATATGAATATGAAATGTTGATCTAGGTATCTATCACAATTGTAATGCAGCCTTTCAAATTAACAACAGAATTAAAAGAGGCGTGCAGGTATCGTAATGGTTGAATGTTAACTCCATTGGCGGATCCAACGGGGGGTCCTGGTGTTGGACCCCCCTTTATTTTTGCAGAAAGAGAGAGAGAGAGAATTTTTTTTATGTAACATAGATATTTTTACGTCTAGTATTTTCGATAAAATAAGTACTTCAATCTCTGCCCTTTCTGCTCTATAGATAGAGTTTTGCTTATTGCTTTCCTCCGTGTACCTTCACAACCCCGGCCCCGGGCCTCGACCATCCACAGGTAACATGAAAGATATCCTCGGAAGATTCCGGCGAACGTACGGCTATGCTATTTTTGGATCATCTTCTAAAGTACCTAACTTTAAGAAGTATGCATAAAAACTAAAAAGTAATGAAAGGGAGTATGCATAAGAGAATATTTATCTCCTTTTCTTATGGGGATATTTTAATCAATGAAGAGAAAGGTTCAAAATGTCCCCGTAGAATGTGAGGGAGGGGACTCACTTTTTCTTAAAAAAAAATATTTTGTTATAATTTTAAAATATAAGTTTTTATTTGCATTGGAAGCTCCCTAATTCAAACAAAATCAAACATTTAAAAGAAATTAAAATGTATCGAAAAGCCCCCCCCCCCCGAAATATGATTTTACAGTGTGGTCCACAGGTTATTTTTTTTTATTATTATTTATTTACTTTTTTTTTTTGCTTGTCAACTCTTTTTGGGGGTTGCCCCCTTTGAAAACCCTTGCTACAAGCTTGAATTTAAGTGCCGGGGGTTTGACCTAGAACCCCCCCCCCTTCAAAAACTGCTGGATCCGACCCTATACTTGAGCACTAGAGGGTCTCGGCACTAGAGGGTCTCGAGTTATCTAAAGCGATGCTAGGTTATCGATTAACTCGATCAATTTAAAAAACACACACACAAAAATTAATTTTGTATGTAATTACCTGCAATCGTAACTTCTCGGCAAAACAACGTGTTTTTCTTTGCTCGCCAGAAAGGTCTGAGAAGATGCGATTGACAATCTCGTGTGTAGACCCAGGCTATTTGGTCTTGCACGCACAGGTGTGTGCACTGTTTCAAGTTTCAAGTTTCTTTATTTCCTTAAGCCAACTGGCTCATCAGAATAATAATACAATCATGTTATTAAGGAAAAAGAAAACAAAATCATACAGAGAGAGTGAACGTAAAATATACATAGATAAAAATAGTCTTATACATCGATATTATTTTTTCTTAACAATGTGGCAGCATTCAAAAATTTGCCCTAATTTAACAAATCTTTAGTATTATTAGAACTTAACAGTTGAATTAATTTAAAGACGCTAGGCTTGTTATAATAATACTTTTTCAAAAATTTCTCTCTTAAATCAATATACAAAGGGCATTTCAAAATAAAATGAAATTCGTCTTCTATATCATGGAGATTACAACATGTACATAATCTATCAATCTTTGGTATGTTATGGTATCGACCTGTTTCAATATTCAACATATGATTTGATAACCTAAATTTTGTTAATAGTTGTCTAAATTTTTTGTCAATAGGTTTTGTTAAATATGATTGCAAACAGAAATTGTCAATTAAATGTTGATACAAATAACTCTTTGGAGAGTTTGATATACTCTCTATTATGTTTTGCTTTGAAACATCTAAAAGTCGTTGTTTTATAATGTTATAAGCTCTATCATTTAAATGGTTTTCTGTCCAAAGTTGTCCTAGTCCTAGAAAAGACAGTTCTTTTTTAATTTGTAAAATCCATTTGTCATTTTGTAATACCATATTTTCATAACAAGACTTTAGAATGCAATTTTCTGTTGTTCTTAATTTGATCCAATATTTAAATATTCTTAGTTTCATTGTAACATATAGTGGAAAACGCCCAAGCTCTGAATAAATCAAGCTGTTTGAGGTTTTCTTTCCAACACCAAGAGTATTTTTACAAAAATTTGAATGTACCTTTTCTATATCGGGACATCTGTGAAAACCCCATATCTCAGATCCATAAAGTAATACACTACATACATAAGTATCAAAAATTGAACATAAAGTTTCTACATTGAATTCATACCTCTTTAATCTACTTGAAATAGCAAACATAGCTTTTCTACCTTGTTCAGCAGCATGTTTCTGCGTTTTTAAAAAATTTCCAATAAAATTAAATAAAATACCTAAATATTTAAATTCATTCACAATTTCTAATTCAACATTATTATAAAACCAGGATTCATCATTATGTAATTTACCACCATTTCTAAAGATAACAACCTTAGTTTTTGTTACATTAACAGAAAGACTCCATTCTTCAGTGTAACTGCATAGTGTGCTTAACATTTTTTGTAATCCTTCTGGAGATTCAGCAAAAATAACCATGTCGTCTGCATACATAAGTAAGAATAAGTTTAGCATCTGCGATGGCACGGATGCGAATAGCAAGCATATCACATCTTGTGACCCATTTTGTTTGGAGGTGCCATCTTTTTGATATATTTTTCTTAACAGTTTTGATCTTATTGTTTTATAGGAAATTTTTCTAGTCATTTTTTGGGGGATCAGACATTATTTTATATTTTACGTAACTTTCAATCTGAGCTTGTGAGTCTGATCCCCCTTATTTTGTGTAAAGTATTTTCTTTTTTACCGTCATTTAAATAAATGACATTATTCATCTCTGTGAATGTGTTTGAGTTAATCTTTACAAAAATAAGCAAAAACTAGCTGCGGTGAGCCTGCCGAGCATTTGAAGACATAAAACAGCAATTATGATTATAATTGAATTTATGTATTAAATGCGTTGTATTTACTGTTTACATGTGTGTAATGGTTTATGTAATAGATATAGCATGCTGGGGATTCACGACGGTGGACTGCGAAATTTCCAGCCAATAATTAACGAGCTAGGGTCACGTGGTCAGCTGAGCAGATCAGTTGTATTTTGATACCCGCACGCTGACCACAGTAGATTTTGAAACACTTATATTTCGAAGACCCACCACCGCCCCTGCAATCCTCCCTCTCGTAATTATATAAATATATCATGTGGATTATTGTACTTATCAGGCCCATTTTGTTTGGAGGTGCCATCTTTTTGATATATTTTTCTTAACAGTTTTGATCTTATTGTTTTATAGGAAATTTTTCTAGTCATTTTTTGGGGGATCAGACATTATTTTATATTTTACGTAACTTTCAATCTGAGCTTGTGAGTCTGATCCCCCTTATTTTGTGTAAAGTATTTTCTTTTTTACCGTCATTTAAATAAATGACATTATTCATCTCTGTGAATGTGTTTGAGTTAATCTTTACAAAAATAAGCAAAAACTAGCTGCAGTGAGCCTGCCGAGCATTTGAAGACATAAATAAGTTTAGCATCTGCAAATCAATATAGGGGCAGTTATCTGATATAAAATCAGCTGTTTCTCCTTGCATTAGACCAATGTCGTTGTGGTAGTAGTCGCTGAGATAACCGTTGTATTTAACACAACTTTTAACATTATTGTATAGAGATTTAATTATCTTTAACATTTTACCTTGGATGCCTAAATGAAACG